TAATTTATTCCCTAAATTCGTTCAAAATAGATTTAATAACAACAACATGAAAGTGAGCGTCACAATTTGTTAATTTTTCAAAGATTACAATTTTAATGTTAATGTTGACAACCTTATGCTGCATGCTTTTTAATATTATCATTTATTTGTAAAAAGTATTGATTTTATTAAACCATTTGACTATATAATATAGTCTCATGGAAGATAAAGTTTCTAATTCAATCAGGTTAGTACTATTGAGTGGATAAATTTCTCTATCAATTTAATTCAGCTGATTCACTGACATGGTGGTGGGGGTCGGCAACCTGCGGCTTGCGAGCCGCATGCGACTCTATTGATGTGCAGATGCACTTCAGCGCCTTGCACAATTATTAATAGTTATGTTAGTTCGTTTTCACTGGACGGTGGGGTATGAGTTTACCCTTCGTTCAGTGGGGTGGAAGATAAGTCTGGTGAGAATCATAGGACAGAAGCGAACGATACAAGTTAATCAAACCGATATCCAAGCCAGTTAGCCGGCGTTTGCCGTGTTGAGGCCTGCCGGATAATTGGGAGAACCTCCTGAGCCGGTGATGTCCGTAAAGAAAAATTAAAACAAAATATTAACAGCTTCTAAAGTGGATTGAGATAGTCCTAGACAGTGGCGTAGCGAGGTCGGGTGTCACCCGGTGCGGCACTTAATGGGGTCACCCCCCAGAGGCGTAGCGACCCTTCCCGGGGTCCTAGAATTATATTATTTGATTACTAATTTTATTACTCTGGCGAAACATGTCTATGTTTTTATATGAATAAATATTCTTTCATATTTAAAACTATTTATTTCAAATAACAAATCACATTTATTTACCTAATCCTAATCAAATAATAAAATATTGAAATAAAAATGTTGTGGCTCTTTAAAAACTGGGAAATTTTATAAATTGTAACTTTTGGCTCTTGCGTATCAAAGGATTGCCGACTCCTGTGCTAGTAGAAAAGACTTTCAGAAAAGCCCAGCATCGCCCATATAAAAAACACAGCATCACCTTATATCTACACAGCATCAATAGAAGAGTTGCATCAATCTGCCTAAATAATTAGCTTCTTATCCTCAGTTCTGATACCTTTTATTTGGTCAGTGTGTCTGGTATGGGCACCAAATTCACACGTTGTTTTACAGGAAGACACCAACATTTTTGGGTTTTTATAGGAAGACACCAAAAAAATTAGGGGATTTCTACAAGAAGGAAACATGTTTTTATTGGTTATTTTTCTACCTTTTCAATTTTGGTAACAATTTACTTTTTAAAATGTTTTTTCAAAACTTTTCTTCAAAAGAAAACATTTCTATCATTCGTTTCAAAGAGAAGTTTAGTAAATGCTTTTGCCAAATCTATCAATGTATTCACTGTCCAGGCTCTCCCCTCCTTAAAAGAATAGGCCTATAGATATAGAATTGTTTATAATTTATAGACTTGTTTGCATTTCAGGCACCTTTCACACAATTCCATTCATGCGAAATAATAACCTATAAGACATGTTAAATTTGTAAAAAAGAACACTATTTTATTGATATTCATTTTTATAAATATGTATATATTTAAATAGTATATAGATTATATTTATTCATATTTACACTTTTTGAGAAAAAATTGCATCAGAAAACATTTTGCATAAACTTTACAAACAAATAAACTGTGATTCAACATAAGGGAAATAATGCAGGAAATTGAAAATTGGCAATTGTCTTTCCTTGTTGAGTAGAGAAGAGAGGGCAGCTTCTAATGAGGTAGGCCATAAAACAAACAAACAGAATTAAATTAGGTTTTAAAATCAAAAAATCAGTTGCTCAGTTTTCTGAATGCTTGTGCTGCTGCCCCTAAATCATTTCAAAGGCACTTGGGACATGAAAAAATAACAGATTTTTTTATACTTGTGTTATTTACATTGTAAGTTCTTTATATTTTAGATGTATTTTGTATTACTTTTAAATAATGAAAAGAACTAGCAAAGTCAACTGCACAATGTTTGTATTCAAAATATATCTTAAAAAATCAGCATTATTTTAACATATATTTTAATTTACGAAATACATCAAATAAGCATAGTCTCTTTGTCCAATTTGTTAATGTAATTTAATTATTGTTCTAATATTAATTATACTAAAGATATATTAGTTGTCATACTCCATGCTTTTCTTTGTAAAAATCTTAATCCACATCCTTTTTTTTGTTGATTCCTAATTTTGTTTTTCTAGTAGATTAAAGCATAAAATGTCATGGGCTAAATGAATGCTTTTAAGAACCACTTGTTGTTTTCAATAAATAATGATTAAGCTGTATCCATAAATTTTTATAATAAAAAGCCAGTATATTAAAATGTACTCTAATTGAACCTTAACCAACAGTATTTACAAAAAAAAATTACATACATTTATTAAACATGATAGCTGGATTGTGCATATCTTATAAGATGTGCAAGTACATTAGCATTTTTAGCAATTGGTATTAATCATTTTTTATCCTTATATAAATACAAAAGTGAAAAATTTGTGATTTTAAATAATATTTAACTGTGGAAGAAGAATTATTGTCAATTAAAGCCCATGCTTCTAAGACTTTGATCCCGGTTGTATAGGCACCATGAGGAGCTATAGTAAACCATGTGCATTGAATCTATTACATCCACGCTGCCTCACTAGCTAAAGTTCTGGTATGCTTTAGTGGCTGTGAATGTACAACTACTAGTTATAGTTGTGATGAATTACTTCCCATGTTGTCATATCAATTGCTTACAATGATGGGTTACTTCCCATGTTGTCATATCAATTGCTTACAATGATGGGTTATCTCCCATGTTGTCAGCTACACTTACTAGCTAACACTAAAGAGCAATCATAGAACTGCTTGTCAAAAAAAAGACAATATTTGTACATCGATAAGAAATATAGTAATAATATTATTCTAGCTATGCTGTTTGCATTGATTTGTGCTTTTAACTTTAAACACAATTATTTATGTGGTATTGTGGGAACTACCACCGTAGTCGAAGATGTGCCAATGACAAAATTAAAGCATAAAGTATTAACTTAGTGGTTGCATAGTCAAAACATTTTACAGGTTAAAATAACTTCAACATAGTTTAAAAATTAAAGATTTCTCTAAATGGAAATGTAATTTGAAGAAAGAAGTCGTTATAGACAAGGGAGTTGGTTATAATTTATTTGGTTTGTTTTTTCTCCTCTAGGCAATAGGCTACATATATATTTATGTAAACCTGGAGAAAGGACAGTGTGAAGAAATGTTCATGAATGAAAGATATTTTAATTTTACAGAACTTATAGATATAAAATTGTACACAAAATAATTTATAAAAAAAACAAACATGTAACAGCTGTTTTTTTTTCAGTTTTGCCTTTTTTTTTTGCTGTCATTAATTATATAATTTCTTCATTGCACTTTCTGGTTTAATTAAACCAACAAAATACAGCTCAAACTAAGGCACAAGTTTTCCATCAGGGTTTGCATGGTAACACATAAGTCTTTTTGGAATGTACATTTTGTGAAAGACGAGGTTAGACATGAGAAGAGAGACGTTTTTATTTACAGCGCACATTGAGTTTGATCCCCGTGATAAAACAATTTGGCTATACTTCGGACAGTTTAAACACAAAGGTGAAACAAACATAGGATATTCCTGCATGAAATTGTAAAATATATTCACGTTTTTTTTAAAGTAAGTTTTATAAAAAATATATTAAAAAACAAACAAACCACTTACTTTATAACATAAAATGTAAGCATCTTTAGTCAGATAAATTATAAAATACGATTTTCATAGATTACAACATTCAAATATGCAACACATCAATAAATAAATAAAAGTAAACACATTTTAATCACGTTAAAACTGGCCTCTTTCAAACAAGTTTTGTTTAAAAGATACATCCTGTTTATTTGTTTGCCAAAATTGGTGAACATTGTCAAAAGCTACAAAAACATGTATAAATTAAAACTAAGTTGTAAACTATGCTAATTTTGTTAAAATAGTGTCTTGGTAAATAAGTATTTTCTATTCTGATCTCCAAAATTAAAGATCTCTTATTACAATACTAAACTACATAGGTAAAAATGTCTTTATCAAGTTAGGAGAACATAACAAGTAAATAATGACACAAATACAATGCCACTTATCCAATACATATTAATGTTCAAAATTCACTTTGTTTTGAAATGGTGTATTTAAAAAAAATCGATGAAAACTAAACCTAAATTTTAATAAAAAATGTTCCCATCACAATGTAACATGTGGTGATAACAATGATTTCAACATTGATAAATATTTCTGCAGCATTATGTAAAACATTTGTTTATGAAAATAAATGAAATTCTGTCCTCAACTTGTTCATTTAATTAGCAATAACAACAATTTTTAAAATAAATTACCAGTTGCATTTATTCTGCAAATAAATGACAGCATGGGTTTAGGTCACGTTAAACCTTCCCCAAAAGTGGAAAGGCCAATCTAGAGGCCTGAGTGGTGGTCAAGTTTTCCATATACTTTTAATATAAACTTAGCATTTAGACCAAACTGATTTTTAAAAATTCTGCATTAGGCCTTTTTTCCAAAACAAGAACACACTTTTGCAAGAAAAGAATATTTAAATTGTATGCTAAAATCAGATTTATAAAGAAATCATTTCAGTATTAAATATAATAAATAAAATTTAAATCCCCCCCCCCCCCCCCCTTGCAAAGTTTTGTTCTTAAATCTCAACAGAAAATTTTTGAAAAATTCTTACAGATATGGATATTACTAGTATTGTGTTATTACAGTTGCTATAAATAGAACTCAGAATTATTCAGAGTATTGCGATGGCAAGTACAGGCAAAAACATAATTTGTGACACGCACATTTTGAATTGTGACACATTTTGTGTCATGGTGCTCACATTTAGAGGTGTGACAAATTTTATGTTGTGACACATTTTATCTTGTGACACTCACATTTAGAGGTGTGACCCCTTTCGTGTCGTGCTCACGTTTTGTGCTGTAACACATTTTTATTTTGTGACACATTTTACATCAAGACACTTATATTTGTGTCATGACAATTTTGTAAAGTGAAACATTTTATAATGTGTTTACATTGTGCAGATAAAAATTTTTAGCACCAGAATTACAATTTTTAAACCAATCTAGCTAAGATTAATTCTAACTTTATTTCTTTTTACTCTGTGTCTTTGCTGGGGTCACCTTACTTGTTATTCTCTTGAGTATTGACGGTGATTTCTTCACAACAGGTTTCTCTTCTTCTACTTCCTCGTCCCCAGCCTCGCAAAGCACAGACAGAGACTGGTAGTGTTCTTGTTTAAGATGCAGCTGAGACCCAGATAGCGCTGGGGATTTGCGACCGCTGGGACCCTGTGATGTCAAGCTGGTGGTGGGCGGTTTCTTTGGCATACGTAAGCTTGCGTGTCGGGTAAGTGTGGATGGTGTTTTAGTTGTTGAGGTTTTAGCTGATAGTTCATCTGCCTTGGCTTTGGAAGCAGCAGTGGGTGCCATGAATGAAGATCTGCGGGTGGATGTTCTGGAAGATTGTGAGAAGGGGATTGTGCTGTGGGGTCGTTCAGGTAGGACCGGGGTCGTTCTGGAATTGGTGTCACCAGGAAGTGGGGTCGTACTGCGTTTTGTTTCATGTGGCAGTGGTGTGATGCTCTGCCTGACTTCGTGTGACAGTGGGGTCATGCTGCGCCGGACGTCACTGGTGGGAGTTACCCGTCGCGTTTCAGGTCCCATGGAGGCACGCGAGTTGACACGCATGGACTGGGATCTGGAGAATGGGCTGGATGATGAAGGGGTCGTTGTAACTGGTGCTTTAGTTCTATCAGCCGGGGTTGTGGGTCTTAGCGATGAATTGCTTGCAATGGATGATCTGGAACTCGGAGTAGTTGGGGTAGTTGTAGTTCTTGTTTTAGACTGCTGGGGGGTAATGTTGTGGGATGTAGTTGTGTGGCAAGGAACGGCTGGCTTAGCTGCAGGCTTTTGTTTATTTGCTGCACTTGCTGTAGACACTGAACTAACCCTTGAAGATATGCTAGTATTTGAATCTGCCCTAGGCCTGCTAGAAGCTGCTGATGGGGAAAGAGTCACAGAGTTCCCAGCCGACAACTGCATTGAGGTACGTGGACCTCGGATAGATGTACGAGCTGCTGTTCCTCTCTGGAAACCTGATGTTGCAGACTCCGCCCTCATTGACGCCCTGACAGTTGTTTCACGCTTGAGAGTTGGGGTCACTGACCTTTCAATGACTGAGGTCCTGTTGGGGGTGTCACGCCTGAATGGAGATTCAGGGGTTGTGGAGGCTGGACGCTGAGATGAGCGAGAGGTTGGCATCATGTAACTGGGGATGGGTTTGGGTTTAGCAGGTGCATCTTGTTTGCTGTTCTTCTTTTCAGTTGATTTAGCAGGAGACACAGCAACAGTCTGAGGTGAAACAGACTTGCTGTCACCCTTCACTTCAGGCACGTTACTGCCTAGAACAACTTGTTCCGTCCAGTTCTCTGTGCGGACTTTTCGATCAGCCTCCTCCACAAGTCTGGAATTCACCCCAGCCTGGTCTGCCTCACTCTTTGATTTGAGACTATCAGACCTCTGGGCAGAGATCTCAGACTCGAGGGTGCTGCTCATGGAGGTTCTCTGGGACATTGTGCCTGACCCAGACTCAAATCCCTCGTCCTTGTCGTTACTGCTTGTTGTGCTGGATCTGTTGGTGGATTCACTGCCACCATCCAACACATTATCGTACAAACTCCTCCTTTGTCTTTCTCTCTTCAATCTCCATTTTGCTATAGAAGCATTCGGATCATCGCTATCTTCGTCCATATGCTTACTTCTATCCAACAAACTATATGACCGACGTAATGGTGGGACTCCTGTATCAGAAACAACTGAATTCACTGGCGCAGATGATAATCTTTGTTTGTTCAAAATAGTTTGCTGTGTATTTTGTTCAACTGGTGGCTCATTGTTATTTAAAAGTGTATCAGTTGAAGAAGCAGCTGATTTATTCTTAGAGCTGCTATCTTCATTATCACTTCCTTCACCAGGAATATAAAGTCCATTACGTCGACCATCGAGTGAGAGTCGACTCGTACTGTTTCTTATGACAGCCTGCTTCTCCAACATTGTATCAGGTGCACTACCACTGTTACGTATAACAGTGCTGAATTCTTTCTCATGTACACGCTCGTCAAATGACTTTGACCGGCTCATATTGTTTTTGTTCATTTCTTTTAAGGCTTTTACCACACTGTCAGCTTCCACATTACTTCGAGGCCTTATATTGTTATTTGAAGAATTTGAAGCTCCGAAACGCGCGTCACGGAATTTCTTTTTCCCTGTCATTTTGGCAGCTTTGCTTAGTTCTTTATTATTGGCACTGTCACTTCTAGAGAGTTCAGTGCTGCTCTTATCTGCCATCACACCATCTTTCCGTGGCGTGGGGGGCGTTTTTGTGGGCGAGACAGAAACTGTGTTTTTATTATTCACAGATAAATTATTGTTATTTTCAACATTTTTCCCACTTTTAGGATCAAGGGTTCTAATCGCAGCTTTCACATCATCCATTGAAAGTTGGGATCTCTTTTTCCGCATTTCTCTTTTAGCTTTTTCATGATCTTTTATGTTACCAGTGGGTGTGTTGGATGCTGTGACATGCGCCACAACAGCGACATTTCGTTGTGCGGGCGTGTTATTTTCACTTGAAGTGTCTGTGGTTCGCTGCATTGGCCCAATGACACCAATCGCATCTATCTGTCTGCCTGAGTTTTCTATAGTTTTAAGTAACTGGTCTATATCAGTCCCCATACCTTGGCTCATCTTGAGCCGCACAGACGTTGATACGTGAGACCCCAGATCTGAATCATCCATAGATCTCCCCGGTTTGGGGGACTCATCTTCAGCAGAATAGTTCTGCATGTTCTCCAGAACTTTGTTCACCTCCTTGGGGTTTAAGTCACTCTTGAACCTGTTGGACATTTTCTCCCGCGTCCTCTGGATGGCCTTTGTCTGGGCCTCCGAGGTGAAGTCCTCCAGTGTTGGATTCTTCTCTGTGATGGGTTCCAGTGGGGAGTTGGTCTCAGACACAACGATCCCATTCCTCCACCTCGTGCTGTTCCTGGAGGGTGGTGTCGCGTCTTTTGCATCATCGGCATCTTCCGTTAAAGTAGGCGTCAACCTACCATCTTTTTTAGCTAATTTTTGTTTAAGTCTGTTTATAAGATCGTCAGTGTCCTCGTCCTTTCTCTTCTGCTCTGCGAAACTTCTGCTGCGCTGCATGGGTTGATGTTTTGGCTCAGGAGTCACATGCTCAGATTTTGGTCTGCCAGTAGACGTAGACCCCAGCCGCATAGTGACATTGTCACTCCCTGGTGTACTTGTCGCTGACAGTGGAGACGGTGACGTTGCTCGCTCTCGATCTGCCCCTAAAATGTCTAACGTCGACGGCCTCTTGGCTTTCCGCTCCATCCGTCGCCGGCGAAGGCTAGCATAGCGCTCAAACGTAGTTTCAGGTTTTGGCTTATTATCAATGGAAGCATCAGACTCTAATAAAATCTCATCCAAAGAGACGCTGGTACGCGCTGAATCTGGTGTAGGAGATGGCCCATTAGGACTGTGAGCTGAACCATCACCACGCCGTCTTCGCTGACTAACTCTTCCATGTCCAGCCCGAACAAAAGAGCTCCCTGGGTCCCCGTTCATGTCTGCATCGTTGATAATGTTCAATGCATCTTGTGGGGCCAGGCTGACTTTTGTCCTTTTGGTTATAGAGAAGTTCCCGTCACTGAAGTTACTGGCTGCGTAACCATTGCGTACATCTGCAAGAAGTTGATCAAATATGTTGGCACCTTTTTCTCCGGTTGGAGACCTTATCAATTGATGATCAGCTTCAGCGGCACCTAGAAAAATTTTAAAAATTTTATTGTTATTTTTTAATATTTAAAATTTTAATTTATTGAGAGTTTTATTCTGATCACTACATATTTTTGAAAATTTAATTAAATGGATAATTTTCTTTAGTTAAGCACTCACCTGAGTTTCTGCGAGGATCTCCACTCATACTTCTTCGTTGTTCTGCCTTAACTTCCATTAATTGCCTCTGAACATTTTCCTAAAGACATAGAATAAACATAAATTAAAATCAAAGTATTGAGACAATTTAATTTTAATTTAAAAAACTAAAAGTAAAGTTCCTCTTTAGATCTAGTGATCCATTGGGCGGATAAAGTAGAGTTCATATGTTAATTTATGGTTATAAAAGTAGTTAAAATCATGGAGACACCCACCTCGTAAGCTTTCTTTAACTTATCACAGAATGTCTGAAGAATTGCACAGCACTCTTCTATTTTGAAAGTTTTTAGGTCTTCACAGAAATATGTTGCCATTTCAGTTCGAATATGTTCAATTTCTTTCAGATCTTCTTCAAGTTCATTGACCTCAACATTCGCCTCCTGATTGAAAATAAATTTTACAATGCTTAAACACACAATTAAATTTTCAAAACATTGATATTTTCTGTATTTAAATTTAATTTTTTTTTTTTAAAAGTGAGTTTAGACTGCCAGATGGATGGGGTACATGCAGATCTGGAGACCACAGCAAAGTCGAAGTTGGACTTGTTGTTTAAATCCTCAGACAAAAATTCAATTAAGAACATAGAAGAAGAAAGACAGAATAAAGACTTACCTTGAGGAAACTGCTCATCTGCTGCTGAAAGTCTTTGCCAGCCAAACATATCTGTTCTGTGATGGCCCTCACCTTGTTTGCTATATTACTCACATCTGTCACTAGAGACTCCACAGATACCCTGACAAGTTAAAAAAATATGTTAATGAATAATTTTTAATAATCTAATTAGAACATTGCTATTGTTTTAATAAAAAAAATGTCTTCTAACTTTGGCCGAAATAGAATTAAAAAACTGCTTCAAATTATAAATACACAAAATAAACAAACAAACATACAGAAACAAAAACCCAGACAAACCACACAGAATAAATATAAACATACAGAAAATATATACAGAACAAACTTAAAGCAAACTTGTCGAATAAATATACAGAAAAAATATAAAAAAATATACATAAATATACATCGACATAATATACCCACAAAACAAAGACTGAGACTCACTGTGATGCATCTTTTAAGAATTTCATTTCACTTGGAAACCTGAGGAGCTTTGGGTTTTTCTCAGCTGCTTCCTAAATAGTTGACAAATTCATTAAAAATTTATGCCGAAAACATTTATTTCTCACATAAAATAGAAACATTTATTTCACACATTAAAAAATATTTTAAAAAAGCAATACATATGTTGAATAACAGTTGAAAATACAACTTAATATAATTCTCACAAACTCATACACTTGTTTTGAAAACTTGTGGTAAGGATAAAATATTTTAAAAAAATAAAGGTAGCTGCAATATTTATGTCTATAACAGGTATAAAATGACAATTTACCTGAGCTACGTAATGCATTAAGTTGACACCAGGCTTGTTGGCCCGGAGTTCCGTCAGTTTCAGTAGAGACGAAAGTCTGAAACCAGCTGCATTCCCAGCATAATTTCCCTGTTAAAGTTTTGTTATAGAACATTATTTTATTGTCCAAATTATCTTAGACAAATTTAAAACTCAAACCAACTTTCAAACAGAAATTATTCATGATAAGTTCTTACTGACTTATGGTAATTGCTTTAAATTACGTTACAAAAAATAAAAACTTCAAACTATTAATAACCATTTCTAACTTGGTTGACGCGGACTGATGTATAGGGTAAAATTAAATAAACAATAACCAATGCTTACTGAATTGAGGTAGTTGCCAGAAATTAAAATGAGGAAAATAAGTTCTTTGAGAGATTCATTGTCCTGAATATCTGGAAGAGAACATTTTATATTTTTTATTAGATTTAAAATTTTAATAACATTAATTTTTCCCTTTATTTTTAAACTCTTTATTCAAAATAAAATGTGTAAGCAATAAAAGTATAATATTAAATTGCCAGGATAAATACAATTTGAAGCAATAAAATGATAACATTGTATTGCCAGGGTTAAGCACTCACCTCCAGCTGCTTGTATAATGGCCTCTATAGCTGGTCTAATCCACTCCATGTGTGTGTTAAACTCTTCTTTGATCAACAATCCTTCAATACGCATGCGGTAGCTGTAAAAGAATAAACACTCTCTATTTAAATGGAAATCACATTAACAGAAACAATTACATTGTAATTAAGCATATCTAAAGTGTGTTTCTCTTTCAAATAATAATTCCCTACTGATTGAATTTTGGTTAAAACATTGATTTAAACATTCAATAACAACCTTCTCAGTACTACACATTTTATTAGAAAAATATTTAAGCTTATCGTTTTGTAAAGGCTAGATGCCTAAAGTTGTTTGATATGGTGTACTTGTTTAGTGCAACAATTCTGATAAACAAAAATCCAAGTAACTGACTTACTTTGGAAGGCCCATTAGTGTTATAAAAAATTTCTCAGCATTTCCAAGTTTGCTTCTGTCTCCATCAAAAGAATTGATGGCGTCAATCTGAAACGGAGTAAAGTAAAAATATTTCCCATTGCTAAATTTCAAAAGCATTTATTCAAGATGAAGATAGTTCAATTATTTATCACAGTTAAAAAAACAAGTGTAAAGTATAATCAGATTTTTTAATTTTAAAGTTGCTAACCATACCAGACCAGGATTCTACATGATTATGTCTCACATAGACACAGAAAAAAAGAATATGTAGGCTACACAAGTGGATGCTAGTGGAAAGCCAATGACAACACTCACCTCTTCTTGTGAAGGCAACATGTTTAAAAGACTGCGGAGCTTCTCCGCCCCAAACTTATCACTTTGGCCATCTCTGATCAGCTGCACGATCTCTTCATGCGACATGCGAAACTGCTTCAGCACAATGTTGACATTCATGCTTCTCTTTCCGTCAATGATGTTTATCTGTAAAGATTAAATACATAATATGATAATTGTTTCTATGCATTTTCAAAACTGTTAACTGTTAGTAACTTAAGAAATATGTACTATTTTTAATAATTGATATGATTAGAAATTATATGACCTGTCTGTATTCTCATTCTGTATGTGTGGATAATGTATACTGTAGAGATCTAGGTCCTATATTAATATTATATTTGTAGGGTCAATACTAAACTAAAAAGTCACATAGTGATACTGATAGTTACAGTACAAACAAACGAATTCATTTTGTATGCTAAACAAATAAATCGGCGGGAAAATAGTTTATAGTGTCAGTCTCCATTAATTAAAGCTAATTTTTTAAAATGTGACAAGCAGACACATAAAGTGTCGTTATTCACACTGTCAACATTAGATTTGCAAATGTAAATTGTTGTAATGTGTGTTTTATTGTGCAAGCAGCACAACACGGCTTTGCCGCTATCGTAAACAAGACAAGGGAGGCCACTATAAAGTAGAGGCCAAACTGAAATATAAGAAAAAAAAATCGGCACATTTAAAGGGAGGTAAGCTAATCCAGTTATCCAACTTGGTTCAATCACTGCTGTTGTGTATCAAAATTCAGCTCTTTAATTATTATTTTGTATCTACTGTTAGAGTTAGTACACAATTAGACCTGAGAAGTTTTTCTACCTTGATATTCAGCGGTAACACAAGATTTTGGCGCCGTTTTTCATTGCAGTTGCCATAAAGTTAGGTATATCTATTTGTTCTAATTATTCACACTAATTAAGCAATGATGGTGAATTATTTTGAAATTATTAATTAGATTTTAACGTACAACTTTAACGACTACTAATTGATTTGGGGTAACTGTAAGAACCAGTTCTGCCTCTAACGAAACAAGATTTAAGATTTTATAACGGAGTACACATATCACTTTACGTAGTTGTGAAATGAATATTTGTTAAAGGGGCTGTGCTGGCTAACATTATGTCATCCTGTACCCGATAAATGAACACTTGCCGGTACTTAGTATGACCGTTTTATTTGCTCTTCGTGAGTATACGCCTTGCCAACGCTGTACAGCTGTACCATGTTGGATTCTGTTGCACTAATGAACGCTGACTTTCAGTTTCATATTGTCATTTGTAAGGTCTCTCCCCGTGAATGTGTACCACCTTATTAGCCTACTTTCGTATGTTATATGACCCACTAAAGGACTACTTTTATTTTCAGACACGGCGATAGAGTATAGAAATATTTTCTCTGTTGTGTACCATGAAAAGAGGAGTATGTATTCAGTACAATGCTCAGGTTATGTAACTTACTAAATTAAGTCAGGTACCCATTATGGCTGAGTGGACTCAGGGATGTCCCACGGAACCGGGAACTATCAAACAGCAAGCGACAAAGCTTGAAAGTTGTTTCTACATACGCTGACTGTGATGTGTGGTTTGTTTTAAAAAGTAATTTACTTGTGGGGCCTAATAAGCCCTAAGAGTGACTGCTTTGTAAAATGACCCCCGACACCGACCATGGTGAGAGTTGTATGCGGATGAGCCTCCTCATATACATTTTAAGTCTCAGAAAGCGTGTATGTGGGGAAAAAAATGTATGTGACAAAATGTGTGTGGCAAAATGTATGTGGAAAAAAATGTATGTGACAAAATGCATGTGGCAAAAATGTAGGTGACAAAAAATGTAGGTGACAAAAAATGTAGGTGACAAAAATGTATGTGGCAAAATGTATGTGAAGGGCCTGTTAATTTTTATCATGAACGTTTAGGTGAACCTGACCATCAGTTGTATAGTAAAGGTCTTAAAATTATAACACACTGGCGTAGTCTGATATTTTTCCCGATTGAAATACTGTAGCGAAGTAAGAGTGTGTTAAAAATATTGTAGCGAAGTACAAGCGTGTTAAAAAAAGGAACACTTTGATAGCCCTAGGACGTTTCAGTTGCGTCACATCTCATTTACATATTAACATGCGTTGACTCATCGCAGTGTCCTTTAGGACACGTGACCTTGTGTTTGACCTACCGACTTGATCAGAGTTTCTTTCAGGCATCTCTTCGGGGGGGCTAAGCCCCCCCGAAAAATTTTTACCGCCCCCCCGAACGAAATGAAATATATAAAATTTATATAGAAAATATATACTTTTAACAGTGTCCGCCCCCCCGAAGAAAGTTTACCGCCCCCCCGAAGATTTCAAGTGCCCCCCCGGAGAAAAAAGTCTGGAAGAAACACTGGACTTGATGCAGTGACAATTTAAATATAACTTTAACCCACATCGCTACAAGACGGAGAAACTGTTGCTGATGGACTGCATTTGAAAAAGCTTGTGTCAGCCAGCTTTTACATATCATCGATACTAACAGAATTCATGTTTTGATTTTAAATTCCACATACACGTTTAGCAATTTATAATTAGGCTAAACATGTTCAGCTTTAAAACCGGATGTAGTATTCTATTGGTTGAAGAAACATATTCCACATAAATGATTTTTTGAAAAATTGCTTTAAATCTATTGTGGTATCTCTTGAGTGACAACCACATTACATGGATTAACGATGCACTTCATCGCAAATTAAATTTTAAGTAATTATTAATCACGCTTTACATTTATATTTACCTCGCTATGCGACAAAAAAAATAAAGTGCCTTGTTGCTGTTTCCTACCTGTGGTTAAATTTTCACCCACACCTGTAGTTAGAGAATCTCCACACGCTGTTAGCAAAACGCAAACATCCAGAGCTCTGGAATACAATCGCAGCAGCGCAGAAATCACCGGCTGTTTGGTTTAAAATATAACAACCCCCATCTAGATCTGCAGTGGCAATCAAAAGTCCGCCCCAAACGGGTGCCGTAGGGGTATTTCAGGGGCACGTAACCGTGGCTTGAATGAGAGGATGTAAAGTAGCGGCAGACAACCCTTGCAACGTTTGGATATTCGATCTTTGGAGAGTCATCCATGCATGACTGCCCACGACCTGTCATCCAGTTCCACACCGTCGCACGCGGCCAAGATTATAAAAAATAAAATAAAAATGTAACGCAAGTTACAGAAAAGTAATTTTATTTTAAACTTCGGACACGAGAATCTCCAGCTATTTGACGAAATAAAACAAACTACACATCCAATGATAAGTAGCCAGAACACAGGTGTTGTATTCGCTTCACGTATTGTTATGAAGTGAAGAATGGCGGGGTTTATTGTTATATAACTACATTCCCACTTCTCTTCCAAGCGGATAACAGATCCAGGTGTCTATTTTTAAATCTGCCCACCTGCGTTTTGTAATTGCCGTGTAGAAAAAATTCGCCAAACCAACAAAAAAATAATTTTCTGGTTAATTCGTTATAATGGAATAAATAGTCTGACAGCTTTTGGCATGCAAAAAAAACGAAATAATTGATTAGATTTTGAACATTGTTTAGATGAGCATGCTACTGCGGGAGGGAAAAGCGGTTATAGTTTTTAAACCAAGGGAAGTAAGTAAGTCTTGCAGTGGAAAGGGGGACAACTATGGTTTTTCGGATAACTCTGTTTGGTCCTTACTGAAAGTAGACATTCACGGTTTTATCACCTTGGTGCTGAAAGCACAAGCCCTCCGAGTGTTATTTAGGTCGTCTAGTGTCGCGAGACACGGGTTTTTTGACCTTTATGAAATGCTCCCGTCTGCTGTGGAGCTAGAACTTGACATTCATTCTCGCACATTCCCTTCGTGTTCACTACACACGGCCACAGCCAATCGTGTTCGTTAGTATTTTATTGTCTATACTGGCAAGTTGGGTAACTCATGCTGGGGGAAGTGTCTACACGTTAATCTAAATTTAAAAACAAGGGACAAGTAGCCTGAATGGTCCTTGTCGGTGTCCTATGTCCCAGTGGGACCTTAAACAAGATCAGGACTGAAAACGACTTTACTGTGGTAAAAAAAAAACTAATATAGTATTAGTCTGACGTTTCAGGTAGCAAAAATATGACTGAGACAAAAATATTTTAGATATATAACCCGTTACCAACACCCAATTCAACTTATTAACACATAGATAGAGAACAGACAACCAACACTTTGTAAAGTTTTGGGTTATACCATATAACCATAAACGGTCTCAGACTTATTTATAGCGCTATCTGCTGTGTATTGTTGTATCTTATTTAGGTTACATATTACAGCTCATTATATGTGTTTTCTAATGACACTATAGTGTGAAGAAACAAGCACACAACTAGCCAGTGGATAGCAAAGGTATAAACAAAATATAAAAAATCTTGTAGGTGCGTGACAATAACATAAACCAAACAGACAAACAAACCAACAAAACCCTAACCACGCGAACCCCTACGACACTTTTAATAAGCCGTTACAAGCATAAAGTCAACTATATTTAACTTTTCACTGGCAAGCCTATAATGCACTTTATATAAAACTAATTATCAAAGGTATTGGCCTACTATTTTAAGTGTGGCCCGCCTACGTTTAATTTTTCACAACAAAAAGGTACCCCACGTGGTTGTAATTGTCCAATCATATCCGATCTTTAGGTTACTGGCGCTTGACCTACTTTCCACCTTTTATGATTGCATCTAGATCTAGCAGTCTCCGTCCACCATTCACCGAGACCCCACGGTCTTCTAAAGGGTTTCTTTATTTTTCTGCGCCCCCTATTCACTGTAGGGTAGACACACTATTCTAGCTAGCCAACAATCTGGGACCTGGGTATTAACGGATATAATACTCAAGTATCTGGCTGTATGAAGCCCTCCCCCACGCTATGAAAAAAATATTTCCTTCTATACGATTGATATATGTGAAAAAGGCTGAATACAAGCAGATTAGCAAGTAGTAATTCTCCACTTTATATTTTTTTTTGGCTTAAGCCTCAGTTCATTATAGAGATGTTTCAAACTTTAGTGTAAGGATAGGCGCTACATTCACGTTTGAGAAATAAGATTAACGAAATGTTTGTCGTTCTAAAGTCAAAGAATTTCGAATTATGGTGTGAATTGGCAATTTACAATACAAGTATTTTTCTTTAGTTTAGTCTTGATATATATATATATATATATATATATATATATATATATATATATATATATATATATATATATATATATATATATCTTTGGAGATTTTGATCAAATATAAGTATCCAAAAAAGAGTTAATTTATCCTCGTGTTTAGCGTTTTAGTTTGTCACTCACACTCCGCCCATATAGGTGTATGAAACCTATAATCCAGCAGTTTAAAATGAGGTCTATTAAAATCGTTTAGAGGTTCTAAAAGGAACTGTTTACCACCCCACCCCCTCCTTTCACCGACGTATCTCATAGTCAAAGTAGTAAGAGCACTCGTCCCCATATAATCAACTGCCAGCTGAAGTAGAGATTCTCCAGAGAAAATGGAAATGGATTGGCCACACACTCAGTAAGCCTGTATCCAGCATAACAAGACAGGCCCTCACCTGGAATCCACAGGGCAGGAGGAGTAGAGACAGACCAAAAAAGACCTGGAGACGTGACCTGGAAGAAGACACCAAGAAGATTGGATACACCTGGGGACAGTTGGAGAGACTAGCCCAGGACAGAGACTCCTGGAAAGCTCTTGTCAGCGGTCTATGACCCAGGAGGGACGACAGGCAAACCTAACCTAACTCGACCCCACAAGTACGTAACGTCACTACTAAAATAAAAACCAAACCGCGAAATTTACGCCCAGATTGCTAGGAAAAAAAAGACCTTGCTTTAAATAAATAAAAAGTGAAATTTGAGTACACTTAGTACAAGTTCAATAACCGGTTAATCGTTGAACCTTAAAAAAAAAATTTGTGTAAGATAAACCTGGATGTTTCTTGCCGATGCGGATAACACCAATTTAAAAATATAGGTATCATGTTAATCGCGGTGAGATCAGGGAATACATTACGAAGGAAATGGGTGTTCCAATAGTTTAACGACCTAGTCCAGCGATAGAGTAGGGGTGATCTTGATGAACCGACGAGATTGGGCTGGTGGATCTTCTGCTACATATGTAACTGGCTTAAGGTATGCCGCATCATGGTTAAAAACAATAATTGTGGGGATAGCAGTCAGGTACAATTTTATGTGTGGATAGCAATCAGGGACAATTTTTTTTTCGTGTGTGGGGATAGCGATCTGGTAGGTGGGTGGGAGGGGAGGGGTGGATAATGTGACGTACGTCCGGATTGTGTTTATCACGTGACGGTAAATTTGGTTTTTGTGTAAGGAGACATGATCGAGACCTCCCAGGACATGAAGACGCTGCGGGGTGTGTGTGTGTGTGGGGGGGGGGTGGTAGGCGGGGGAGGAGGGTGGTTCATTTGGTGCAGATAAGTTGCTGAGTTCATCACGAATTTAAAGGCAACATATTCAGAGTTTCTTCCAGGCATCTCTTCGGGGAGCAAAGCCCCTCCCCCCCCCCCCCCGAAAATTTTTTTACCGCCCCCTCCCCCCCCCCCCCGAACGAAATGAAATTTATATAATTTATATAGAAAATATATACTTTTAACAGTGTCCGCCCCCCGAAGAAAGTTTACCGCCCCCCCCCTCCCCCGAAAATTTCAAGTGCCCCCCCCCCCCCCCCCCGGAGAAAAAAGTCTGGAAGAAACACTGAACATATTTTACCTATTGTGATTCGTTGTGAAATAACGGCACTAAGATATGTGACGGCTGTGTCGCATCCTATTTATCTTTTATAAAAAAAAAATTGGTTCACTTATCTGTTATCATAACCCTAAACCTGACCACGGCCTTAATTTAATCCTGACCTTGCCGTGACTCTAACACCAACCATAACTCAAGTAACTGATATACCCGTAGAAAAAAAAAAACAAGCAAACATTTATTTTACTGTTATTACCCATCGGCAATTCTACAAGTACTGAAAAGTCTTCAGCTTTAGTTAATGACTAATTAAAACCAACTAAGCTTCGCTAAAACGCTATTGTTTTGCTGTCATTGTTTATCAAAATCCCGCTAAGATGTTTAAAATGCAATTAAAACTTGATTGGAGTGATTAATTAAGTGGCATTAAAACAATTCACGATAGAATACTTCTGTAAGCAGTCAATCAATATTCAATTAAAATTTTTTTTTTCTTTAACAACACAGCTATTTGAAGGATCAGTAAAAAATAAGCCTTGAACATAGCCTTGCAAGATAGGCGTGTTCAGCCAATACAAAATAGACTTTAAAATTGCCAGACAAAAAAAGAATTCGCGAGACACGCAAGACGTCATGGGGTTCTGTGTGTACGCCAATTTGACAACAAAGCACTGTATGTATTTTCTATCTGAGATTCCTGGTGTGTGTGGGCCGTGGTTAACATGACTGATTTGATGGCTTATGGAGAGGAGAAACGGGGTTGTTTCATACATGTTTACATTCATTTTAGAACGGAGGTTTCCGGTAATCCGGGCTATGCTTCGATTTAAACGAAAATAATTTAGTTTTTTTTTTTTTTGTTTTTTTTTTTGTAATGTAAGATTATTTAAGGAGTTGCGTAGTTTAATGAAAGTCACGTTTGTTGTAAAGGAAGATTAGTCACGTGATTCTTACCTCAGAGCTCTCGCGTTTTTTCTTGTTGTCCGGCTGTCCATCAGAAGACTGACCAAGTCTTTTTGGGCTGCTCTCGGGATTAACGCTAAAAAGTTCATCCATTTTCTGGTAGTCCATGTTATAATCCTTGGAGAGTTTGCCCACTTGGGTCCAAAGATTGGGTTTCCCTATAACGTTGGTGATGGGGATTTTTTGCCAATTCAGCGTCCTCATTTTAGCCCGCGGTTTTGGAATGTTAGGTAGAGGATCTTGTCCAGTGGCTTGCCCAAAAGGCGGGGGAGGGGGTGGCGGGGGACCTCCGCCCATGGGTGGCGGCGGAGGTGGCGGTGGTGCTCCAGGCATCATTCCGATAGGTGGCGCTGGGGGTGCGGGGGGTGGCGAACTCGTCACCTCTGAAGACTCGTCAACTTTCTGCAAGCTGCGACTCTCATTATCCGAGGCCGGAGTCGATTCCCGGCGAGTTCTGGAACCGGATGTGCTCCTGTCTCGACCCTCGCTGCGGCGGAGGACGGAGGTTACGAGTTTCTGGGCGTCCTTCTCAGACTCCACCCCCGTTGCCTGGGCGACGAGTTTTTCCACGGTGTTCCATATTGTTTCGCTGAGACGCTCATTGCTTGCGTCGATCTTCAGCAAATGTTGGAGCACTGTCAGGAACGGTAACTCTTGCTGGCTTTCAAGAACCTAAAAAAAAAGTAGGTTGAGGTTACAACAAAAAAAAAACAACACCTTTTTTTTTTGTTTTATTAAAAAAAAACGTTTTTTTTAAGGATTTTTAATTTGAGTTGATATATTAAACCTTAATCCGTATCAGCTTTTACAGTTGTCTGTCTAGACTCAACCTTGTTCAGACATGCAAAAATAAGACACGATCTTTGTTCATACAAGACAGGAATATGCTAATTATCTACAGATTTACTGCAGGTTGGCAGTTAGACGGTTCAACAAAATCTGCTCCAACCCACATTTACCCAACCCGCCCGTCCAACCCACCTTCAACCACCCCACCCCATCACAGTATGTGGCATGTACTTGAGTCAGAGAGCTAAAAACAAAAATACAAGTAGGAAGGAGTCGTTGATTCTGTAGCTTGTAAACATACAAAGGGAAGGAACTCTTACAAAGGGACTTTACTCTGCTGGATCAATTTAAAAAAAAAAAAAAACTCAATCGGTTTTGCTCCACATTTTACAGCTATTTGTTAATATTTGATTTTTTTAAAAATTGTTTGGCGTGTGTGCTCGTTTATGTGTTTGTCAGAATAAAAAGCCACTCAGATTCTACGATTGGATTGTCTGTATTATGTTCAGTGATGGCGGGTGTCGTTTAGTCGAACCTCGCTTATGTCCTATTTAGCTCAATATTGGTGCCTTTATGATTTACGTCTTACGAGTTTAAAAAAAAAACTTCTTTGTGAATACTCCAAAGTTTACTTTTCTAGAGTGTGGATAAAACTTTGCTATTTGCACGTTAAATATTAAAACAAATAGTTTCTTTACCCTCTGCACAAAAGAACATTAACACAAGAAAAAAAGAATCAGAATACAATTACAACAACTATTTTTACAGTGTGTTTGAAAGTTGAGACTTATTTAAACTTCATAGAATTAACATCCACACCGTTAACCTTGTTAACGTTTTAATTAATTGTTTCGTTTCTTTGAGTGCAAACAAACGGGACACTTTTCAAACGGTTCAGTCTGACACGGCGCGGTTTAACAATCTAACATCACACCGCTGAAATTGTAGCCTCTGCCCCCAAATGGCTTCACGTTTGATCCCCACACAGTCCGGCTAGAGAAGTGAACTCTCGAACCCAGGGCGCCCCGGCTGTAATTTAACCATCACCTATCTAATCATCCGGGGAGTATTGGTTTAGGTTATAGGTGTGTGTCGTCTCCCTCTCCCCCCCCCCCCCCCCCCCCATAACAAACACACCGACCGACGCGTTGTCACAAGTCTGCGACCTACGACTACCTGTAGTAGCTCGCCTGAGTTCCGGAAACTCTGACACGTTGCTACAAGAAAATTGTCAAAAGGCATGAATTGATTTTTTAAAAAATTAATGGAGCGATACAAAAATAAATGTCGACAAGTATAACGTATATAACATAAAACAAAACTAGACTTTTTTTCAATCTTTAACAAATGAAGTTGCCCCCCCCCCCAACCCCCCCCCCCCCCCAAAAAAAAACAACCCCGTAATAAATCACTACACTATGTGTGTCACAGTCTAATTATTCATACATACTTTCTAATCTATTTCAAACACACTCTCTAATCTATTGCATACAAATTAAGAGGAGATTATTCAATCTATTTTTCATCCAAGTCATTTTCCCGATTGACGTATTTCTTTTTGTCACTTACGTAAGCTAGGTACTAAAAATGGACACGATCTAAAAATAGATTACCGAGTTATAAAACGTAGGGAAATAAACCGGGAGTGATCTCCCCTAAACTTTCTCGAATATTCTTATAAAAAACAACAGGGGATGGGAACTCGGGCTATAGACATGATTTTTAATCAATTTTAAATACTTAAAGTTTTAAAAATAGAATAAAATCTCGTAGACAAATGAATTGCACACCAAGTGAACGCTAAATAAAAGAGTGTTTAATAGTGCGCAATATTATTAGTACTTTAAAAATTTACATTAGTTTTTTGAGAAATCGGAAGTAGCGTAAATTACTACTTCCGGTCAATGGAAATTACTCAAAATTTAACAGAAGGTAGAGAATTAGATCTTTAACTTATGTGTGAAATTTCATTTATCTATGTGAAATAATACTCAAGTTATAGGCTTTTTAAAAATTCAAAGTAGAAAAAGTACCACTTCCGGTTCTCGGAAATCGCTCAAAAGTTGATACGGATCTACGATTTTGATAAACTACTTATATATGAAATTTCATCAACCTAGCTGTAACGGTACTCAAGTAATCGTGTTTACACACGGACAGACACACAGACACACACACACACAGACATACGGACAGAGTTGCAAAGCCCAGTTTTTCAGACTGGATTACGCACAAAACCTCTTAATTTTGATACATCTGGATTGATAATTTTTGCCCGATTAAAATAAGTCCTCTATACTTCGGATGTGATGAAGGACTGAGGTGTAATACGGTGAAAATTGTTAAAATTTCAAGTGATTTTTGTGCACGATTACAATACTTTCTCTATACTTCGTATATACGAGAAAGTAAAAAAGGAATTCAGCAGATAATGAACTTGTGTATCATTATATCAAATGAAACAAGATTTAGATAATTAAAAATAAGGGGGATTGAAGTTCTCTCGACTCCGTTTACTAAGAGTCATCATGCACAACAAGGACAACAGTCTAGAGGTCATAATAAACAATTAAGTGAAGGATAACATTGAAAATTTGTTATTAAATCACTCAGCAGAGGACATCAAAGAAAATGTCCTACTAACTCAGTAAATGACATCAATCAGTGTAGGACGTTGAAAAGGTCAACAACGGAGAGGTCATATTGCAAAATCAAGCGAAGGACAACAATTAAAAGTTGTTACTAAATATTTCAGCAAAGGACAATAACGAAGATGTCCTACTACCCCAGCAAAGGACAATAACGAAGATGTCCTACTAAAGGACATCAATCAAACGAGGTCCTGAAGTCCTCACACTAAAAGAGAGAAAATGTCATTTTTGTCGAAATGTTTACAACGATGTCTCCGAACTCTTATGTGAGTATTACAGTATCCCGGATTCCTACTAAAATTTCCCCATTATATGTATGTTAATTATCCGAAATTAATGTATGTTAATTAATAATTAGTTGACTATGTGAAACAAGTCTCATTCTATTTCACCGGCTAGGTAAGCTTAAGTCAAGTAAAAAGTAAGCATCAGCTTACTCGATACCTATCACTAACTGGGTCACATTAGTTCGTGACTTGCTCTTGTTAAAGGTCGTTAGCTTAATTAATTCCCGCGCAGTTAATTAATTCCGGACCAAATCGTGTTTGACCGAGCTTAGGCAAAGTTATAACAGCCCCACCCACTCCACATATTAAGATGTAGCACATTCATGGATGTAGCACATTCATGGATGTAGCACATTTATGGATGTAGCACATTCATGGATGTAGCACATTCATGGATGTAGCACATTTATGGATGTAGCACATTCATGGATGTAGCACATTCACGATCAAGCGACCGATGTAGCACATTCATAGTCAAGCGACCGATGTAGCACATTCATGATCAAGCTACAGATGTAGCCATTAATATACAAGCTACAGATGTAGCACATTCACGATCAAGCGACCGATGTAGCCATTAATGTACAAGCTACAGATGTAGCACATTCATGATCAAGCTACAGTTGTAGCCATTAATGTACAAGCTACAGATGTAGCACATTCATGACCAAGCGACCTGTTGCTGTAGTTTTCAGTCGTGATAGTCCCCACGTGTTGGCGTTGTGCAGTTGTACAACACTAGCTGTCGGGCCAACGGATTAAGGTAAGGTCATAAGCTCTGACATTAACCTGCGGCTTAAGGTCCCACGAACAACGGGCAGGTCCACCTTTAAGCTGACACTGGGCCGGTGTGTAAATATGCCAGGGTTTATGTCCGTGTCGACACGACAGTGTAAACCTGACTAGCACGCGACCGTATAAACCGATTCCCACAATGTGTATCTATCCCCAACACGCTAATGTTTACCAGTTTTCCACACAGTATACATATCCCGCACATGATCGTGTATACATCTTTTCCACACAATATCTCACACACAATACTGTATACCCTTCCCCAGCACAGTATACCTATCCCGCAAACGATGATGTATACCCATCTTCCACACACCATTGTATACATATTTCCCATACTGTATACGTCATTATGGTCTTCCACACACCACGGTATACCCCACACAATACTAATTATACAATGCAATAAGAGTAAAATATGACTTTAAATTGTATTATTTTTTCTTCTCAACTAAATTAACTATTACTGTTATAGTCTGCAAACAAGTCTAACCAGAAGCTAAAATTTAAAAACAGGCAACAGGAAATACCGAAACAAACATTTAAAACGATGCGTCAAATCTCATCACGTGTGACGATTTTGTTTTCGCAACGTAGCCCAGAACCCACATACTTTTACTGACGTCATTACTACGTGACATCGACTTCGGCCGTTAACGAAATCAAACAAATCGTCATATAGGATTCGGTTAAAAAATAAACATACTCTCTCCACCAAACACGTTTTGTTAACGGAACTATTTTCAGCACATTTTTCAAACAGAGTAGTCGCCCTTGTGTAGACGATAGTTTAAAACGGCATCACAGCGATGGTTTAACGTACGTTGGTTGCCGTCGCGTCGTCTGCTATCTAAGAGCCGTAACGTCAAACAGCTGTCAATTTATAACCGCCACTTTCACACAGATAAGAGTCAAGTTGAAACTTTTATAAACTCTTAACCTTTCATCCCAAAACTTGTTATGTCAGGAATATTTTTAAAAAACTATTTTGACGCCATCTGGTTTTTGAAGTTTTGTTTCGTTTCTTCCATTGAGAAAATGTTGATCCCGCTCGTATTTAAAAAAAAAACAACATGTTGTTAGCAGGCCTCGAACCCTGAACAGCAAATCACTGTTACCTCATCCATAATTAAGCTAGTTTGGTTAATTG